TATATATATATATATATATATATATATATATAAATTACCAGTATAATTGAAGTTCTCTATTTTCATATATACAAATTAAAAATTAAGTTATAACAATCATACTTAGCATGTGTTTTACTTCTAAGTGAGAAAAGTTCAGAATTCAAGCTTTTTTTGTTTGATCCTTAATTCAGACTGCTGCGCTTTATTCTTCCTTGTACCATGGACATGATATTATGTTATGCACTGACATATATTTAGGATTTAAAATAAAGAGCATACAAATAAACAAAGCTAAAAACAAAAATGAAAAATGATAAATTTTATTACAATGTCCTTTATTTACAGCAAGTTTGTCCTTTCAAATCCAAAGTGGAACTTGATTCTGATATTACACTACTTTTTTTTTATTTTTACAATGTAGGCATAGAATTTCCAGTTCTGAGTGATCTAGAAAGGATATAATGCGAGAGTCAAGATCTGCCATGAAAATCCAAGAGAAAGGATTCTGAAGGGATGGATCTCTGGCCCATGTCATACCATGGCACATCTTCACTTAAAATGTGCAAATGTGCAGATGTCATACCATGGCATATCTGCATTCATGTGTTCTAGAAGTAAAACACATGCTAAGTATGATTGTATAATAGCAAAATTATGTTTATATTAAGTCACACATATTCATCTATCATCAGACTGCTCTACAGAGATAATAGTAATTCAAGGTTCTAGTGTACTGCAGGGCCTGGGGCTGACCTTGGGATTATCAGTCCCAGCCCCACATTGCACTGGATCCAGGTCAAGATTGCCAGAAGCGGAGCCCCTCTCTCCCCTCAGATCCAGTGGTAGGAGGAGCACCATCTCCTGAGCTTGTCTTTCTTGCCTCTGTCTGCCCACTGCCAGCAGTTATCAGGCTCCTGGAACTGTTTGTATCTATCATGTTTGTGATGAAAACATAAGGGACAGAGACAGAAGTTACATTTGTTGCATGATGAGCACCTTGAAAGAGTTCCATAGCTGTGCCATGACACATGTGCACAGTTTCAGAGTGTTTCTAAAGTGGCCAATTGTGCGACAAATTAACCCTCATTAAATGAGGGATCAGATAAAGGCATTCCACTTTGGAGCACCTTAGGGAACTTCTGTTTCCTAAGCATAATCCACTGTGCAATTAGAGCTGGGCTGATGCAATCCAGCCCTGGCCCCAGTACTGTCTGAAGAAACAGAAAGGTAGGGAGGCAAAGTGCAGGCTGGGGTTTGCCTGGCCTGAACTGGAGTTGGGGCCAGGTGGATTGGAGCCCCCCACGTCACAGTTTCCCCCCAGCTTCCCTCTCCAGTTCAGGTAAATACCAGCCCTAAGCTGACTCCCCCTCCCTTCTCATTCCTTCATTCCTGCAGACAGCACCAAAGTTGGGGCGTGGGGTAAGGGAGAGAAGATTCAGGCAGTTTCCTCAGCTTGATCAGCTCTAAAGTGGAGCTCAACACCTGCCCCCAACAAATGAATGTATTTTGGGTCAAGGGGGGTGGTCTAACCCATGGCACTTTATGTAAAGCATCACGCGTTAGAGAGGGAGCCTACATGTCTGTCAGTGTCCAAGATGAGTCTGTCTTAATCCAAATTGGCTCTCTCCTAATGACAATCTAAGATCTTCCCTGTTACTTCCGAACTGCTAATTTGAGCCTCATCACTCAATTATTTATTATTACATTACTGCTGAGACATGTCGTTTGTAATACTCTTGGCTAGGAAAAAAGAATCTAAGAGAAAGTCTGTCCCATTCCTACACTGTAAAACTTTTTAATGCATAGAGAAAAAACAGTATCTACTGAACTACCTTGATGTTAGTCAATAATTAAATTAACAGTGAAAGACATTAACTGTCCTCTCTTAACAATATTTATAAGATTTTAAGTGATGAATCCCATTAAATAATTTTCAGTGGTTACTAACAAAGATCATGCAAAAGAAGCCTTCATGCAAAAATATGGATTATTGAAACTGCTGTGTAAAATAATTTTTTTTTAGTAATAAAAGCCTTTGTTGCTTTTCGGCTGTGAATAATGCATTCACGTTTAATGTTGGTATCCTACCTGACACAAATTAGCTTCTACATGTTCATTCTGTGCCTTAACATATTCAGAAAAATGCATGCCTGTGCATAATCTAATTGCACATTGCATGTTACTGCTGTTTCACAGAAATCCAGCTAGTAAAGATTGTACCTGGCAACTTGGAAAAACACTTAAAATAGAACTCTCTAAGTAGCAGTTCAGTGTAGAACAATCTTAGGCTAATTAGTATGCTATTTGTTTATTAAAGACTCATGATAGTGACAGTTGAGAGACCAAGTCCATTATAATGGTCCATTAAAAAAACGGAAATAAGAAAGTAATAGAGTACCATTTTATAATGGTAATGTGCTAATTTATGGATCCTACAATATAAAGTTAATTTTTAAATAAATGTGTTCAATGTGATTCAGGTTATCTTATCTCTTTTTGGGTTCTCAGAGTTTAATGCAGTGTTCATATGGCTGGGACAAATCCAAAAAAGTTCAGGACACACAAAAAAGTCCTGTTACAAATATGGTATTCTTCCAACTAAAACCCTAATGAACTGCCACTACATTCTGTGTCAGGAGACACTGTGGTCAGAATCCTTTTTCACTTTATGCTTCCAAATGACACTTTACCCAGATGCATAAGAGCTGTCACGTATGCACAATTTGCAATCCTATTCCATGTGCAGCATGGATGCATGAAAATTCACTGATTGCTACTGATCAGATGGAGTAGGCTGTGGTCTGGCCAGGCAGATATGTGCCTCCATAATGTGTGTGCTAAGTAAGCATAA